TTCTCGGCAACCGCGACAATTCACCCTCGAGCACGCGTGGGCTGAGCCAGCCAAGGCGTTCGCACCCATGAAAGGACGCGCCCGCCGTTCGCGTTCAAACACGCACGTCTGGATCATCTGGGCGTTGTTTGTTTGGTGCCAATATGTTCCGTGCTGTGTAGCTCCTGAGCAATAAGGGCGCTGAAGTCACAGCCGCTGCCGCAGACCAGTCTGACCTGCCTGTGCCCGCCTTCCGACAGCGGAGCGCCACTAGCAGCAGGCACTCCCCTTGACACGGTGAAGAGCCAGGGGCAGACCTGGAGGGTACGGCGGAGCTGGCCAGCCCCCTCCACCAGCGGGCGACGCCCCACCAAACAGCGTAGAGACCTCGCCCGCTGATCTGGAGACCTGTCAATGCTTGCACCAGGCCCCAGTGACTCTTGTCCTTGCCACATACACACTGGCACGTCCGTTGGGTAGGCGTCGCTGTGCCCTGGTTGCCGGCCTTCCACACAGTGCGGCCAGCGCTCCCGCCTTAACTGGACCAGCGCGCGTACGCCATGACTGTACGGGCACGGGGACAAGAGAAGCCGAAATCTTCCTGCCTGCGGGCCTTTTCGCAGCCCAAGTGGAGCGGTACGCACTGTCTCTGCGTCAGGCTTCTCGGGCCAGGCCGGCTTGAGCCAGAACGGCTTCAGCCAGTTGCTTGGGCTAAATGTGTACGGGTTCCTCCTCCTCCTCCTCCTCCTACTACTACGACTGCTACTACTACTGCTGCTGCTACTACTACTACTGCTACTACTACTACTACTACTACTACTACTACTACTACTACTACTACTACTACTACTACTACTACTACTACTACTACTACTACTACTACTACTACTACTACTACTACTACTACTACTACTACTACTACTACTACTACTACTACTACTACTACTACTACTACTACTACTACTACTACTACTACTACTACTACTACTACTACTACTACTACTACTACTACTACTACTACTACTACTACTACTACTACTACTACTACTACTACTACTACTACTACTACTACTACTACTACTACTACTACTACTACTACTACTACTACTACTACTACTACTACTACTACTACTACTACTACTACTACTACTTACTACTACCGACCTACCTACCTACCTACCTACTTATCTACCTACCTACCTACCTACCTACCTACCTACCTACCTACCTACCTACCAACTACTACTACTACCACTTCCACTACTACCTCTACTACTACTACTACTACTACTACTACTACTACTACTACTGCTGCTACTACTACTACTACTACTACCAAAACTACTACTACTACTACTACTACTACTACTACTACTACTACTACTACTACTACTACTACTACTACTACTACTACTACTACTACTACTACTACTACTACTACTACTACTACTACTACTACTACTACTACTACTACTACTACTACTACTACTACTACTACTACTACCTGCGACCTACGACCTACGACCTACGACCTACGACCTACAACCTACAACCTACTACCTACTACCTGCGAGCTACTACCTACTACCTACTACCTACTAACTACTACCTACTACCTACTACTACTACTACTACTACTACTACTACTACTACTACTACTACTACTACTACTACTACTACTACTACTACTACTACTACTACTACTACTACTACTACTACTACTACTACTACTACTACTACTACTACTACTACTACTACTACTACTACTACTACTACTACTACTACTACTACTACTACTACTACTACTACTACTATTGCTACTACCACTACTACTCCTCCTCCTCCTCCTCCTCCTCCTCCTCCTCCTCCTCCTCCTGCTCCTACCCCTTCGTCCTCCTCCATCTTCTCCTCCTCTTCCACCTATTTCTTCTCCTCCTCCTCCTCCTCGTCCTCGTCCTGGTCCTCGTCCTCGTCCCCCACCTCCTCCTCGTCCTCCACCTCCTCCTCCTCCTGATCATCATCATCATCATCATCATCAGCAGCACCATCATCACTATCATCACCATCATAATCAGCATCATAAGCATCTGCATCAGCCTCAGCATCAGCATCATCATCATCAGCAGCATCATCATCATCATCATCCTCATCCTCATCATCTCATCATCGTCCTCATCATCATCATCATCATCATCATCATCATCATCCTCTTCCTCCTCCTCCTCCTTTTCCTCCCCCTCCTCCTCGTCCTCCTCCTCCTCCTTCTTCTCATCCTCATCCTCATCCTTATCCTCATCCTCCTCATCCTCCTCCTCCTCCTCCTCATCATCATCATCAGCATCATACCCCCTCCTCTACATCCTCCTCCTCCTCCTCCTCCTCCTCCTCCTCCTCCCTACCTTCTCCCTTTCCTCATCCTCCTCCTCCTTATCCTCCTCGTCTTCCTTGTCCTCTTCCTCCTCGTCCTCGCCGTCATCCTCCTCCTCATGGCCAGACTCTGGACGACCGAGCTCACAACGTTGTGATGGTAACGAGGAGGCGGCAGTGTTCAAACGACCGGCTTTGGCGCTGTGGCCGACAAGTGGGCGACAAATTGGACGTAGGTGGGCGCAGCAGAAGGAACTAACAGGCAAAAAGAGAGATGATGGATAAAAGCCAGGCCCACTACTGGGGCATGAAGTATACGCCCCGCCCTCCTCCTGCTCCTCCAGCCCCTCGCACTGCGACAAAACATCGCGACAGACAATATTTTGCGATCTTCGGGCGCTGGGGGCCCTCACCATGCCCCCGGGCCGTCGAACAGAAACGAGTCGGGATGGAAGAGCCGGCCCCCTGGGAGAGGGTCCGGACCTCCAGGGGATCCACGCGGTGAAGAAAGCACGATGTCGAAACTCTAGGTCCCCCTCCCCCTTCGTTCTTCTCCTCCTCCTCCTCCTTCCCCTCCTCCTCCTCCTCCTCCTCGTCTTCCTTGTCCTCTTCCTCCTCCTCCTCGCCGTCCTCCTCCTCCTGCTCCTCCTCCTCTTTCTCCTCCTCCTCCTGCCTCCTCCTCCTCCTCCTCCGCCTCCTCCTCCTCCTCCGCCTCCTCCTCCTCCTCCTCCTCCTCCTCCTCCTCCTCCTCCTCCTCCCCCTCCTCCGTCTCCTCCTTTCCCTTCGTTCGCCTCCGCCTCCTCCTCCTCCTGCCTCCTCCTGCCTCCTCCTCCTCCTGCTCCTGCTCCTGCTCCCGAGGGCTGCCCTCGACCCTCGAAGGTTGAGAGGTGCAAGACTCTGGCCGTCTCGGGCCCTCGTCGGGCCTCCGGACGCCTCCTGGGGTCAGGGCCCCCCCGGCGGCAGCCAGTTTGGCCGCCTCCTACTGTTAGGTCGGGCATTGTCCCCCCATACAGGCAGATCTTGGACGAACAAGAATATTTTAAGAAAGATACGTGGAAATACACAAGTGGCCAGAAATAGTGGGGAAAAAACGTTCCCGTACTATTTGTTGGGCTATGTTTGAGTACTCCTCCTGTAGAGGGACATTCCCGACTTAATCCGATGGTCGGACCTCGGACAGAAGAACCTCCTTCCCAGAGATCCGACGCTTCAAAAAAATGGGGGCAGGCGGATTTGGGCCATTTTCGGCCTCCGGGGTCCCTCGCCGGGCCTCGGAAGCGTCAGCAAAGGACTCATGGCGAACAACCGGCCCTGGGGAAGTTGTCCGGTCTTCTGGGGCCCAAGCATCGAAAAAGTTGCAGCCCGATGTCTGGGTTCAAGAGCATGAGACCCTCCGCCGGCCAAAATACCCCAAGCCATAAGATCCCTCGAGGGTACCTTCCCTCAGGATGCACAAGAACATCCAACATACACAAAAAACATGAGGGTACGTTACCCTCCCCGAAGCGACCTCGATCTTATATCTCGGGTCGACCGTACTCCTCCCCATCCGGTTCCTTGCTCTCCTCGATCCTCATCCTGCGCCGACTCCTCAGACATCGGACGTCGTGGCTTTTTTTTGTTTGCTTTCACAGCGGGGACCCCCTGAGTTCTGGACCCTACCCCTGGGGCCCGGTTCTCGTCCTGAAATGTTTTTGGACGGTCCCGGGGCCCGGTAAGGGGCCTCAGGGGGCGAACGCCGCCAAACAGCCCCCTTCGTGATTTTTCCGCAGCGAGAGGATGTCAGGGTCCTCTCTCCTCCTTCTCCCCTCCCCTCCTCTCTTTTCCCTCCCCCCTCAGGTCCTGCGAGAATGAGCGCAGTGGCAGCATCTGGCATTGCAAGAAAGGGCACGCTGTGGCTGATTTGTTTTAAGACAAGAGCGCTTTCGCGGCACGTGAGAATACTGTGCAATATTTTCGGGCAAGCGCGTGGTGTTTGATGTTTCAGCTGCGTGCGAGAATGCGGAAATGCCAGTATGGAGTATGGAGTGTCAGTACCCGACCACGGTGAGCCTTTGGGGTGAGGGCCCCGACAGGCTTTGACGGATCCCTTCCACACGGTTGAGACCCAGACATGCAATATCCTGCTTCTTCCTTGCGGGGTCCCCAGAAGTCCCGACCCCTTCCGCGGGGCCGCTTTTGCATCCCGAGCACTTTTCTTACCGCTCCGGGGCTCGGCGCATCCCCCGGAGGTCGCAAAAGGCTGAATAATTCCCGTCGTGGAGAGGAGGAGGAGGAGGAGGAGCAGGAGGAGGAGGAGGCGTGGTATTTTCGCAGCGAGAGGATTTCAGGGCCCTCCTTCCTCTCTGCTCCCTTCCCCTCCTCTCTTCGTCCTGCCCCAGTCGCCGGGGAGAAAGGCTCGTTCCTGCCGCCGCTCGTCGACCTCCTGCTCCTCCTCTTCCTCCTCCTCCAACTCTTCCTCCTCCTCCTCCACCTCCTCCTCCTCTTCCTCCTCCTCTTTATCCTCTTCCTCCTCCTCCTCCTCCTCCTCCTCCTCCTCCTCCTCCTCCGACGACGACGACGACGACGACGACGACGACACCGACGACACCGACGACACCGACGACACGACGACACCGACGACGACGACTACGACGACGAGGGAAGGCTCGCTCCTGTCGCCGCTCGTCCTCCCGCGCCGTCAGCTCCTCCAGGACCTCGCCGACGCGCTCCAGCGCCTCGGGGCAGCAGCTCGGGAGGAGGATCGAGGAGGAAGATGGAGGAGGATCGGGGATCGAGGATCGAGGAGGATCGAGCATCGGGGATCGAGGAAGATCGAGGAGGATCGAGAAGGAGGACTGAGGATCGAGGAGGATCGGGCAGAATGGAGGATCGAGGAGGAGGATCTGGGAGGAGGATCGAGCATCGAGGCTCGGGGAGCAGGAGGGAGATCGAGAAGGCGGGTCGATGATCGATGAGTGGGAGAGAGCATCGAGGCTCTGAAAGTCCGTTCGCGAGGTCTCCAGGGACCTCAGGATGCCTCTGGAGGCGCGAGCGATGAACATATCCATATCCACGCCGTCGCGGTCCCCCCTCGAGGAGTAGGAGGAGGAGGAGGAGGAGGAGGAGGAGGAGGAAGAAGAAGAGCAGGACATCGTCCTTGGCCCGGGGAGGGGGTCCAGCATAGATCCAAGAACTCCGTGCGGACCTCCGAAAGCTTAGCGTTACATTGCTCCCATCGTACTTAAGGACCGCATCCCAGAAATAATTTCGAGCACCCAGAACACTATCGAAACAGTGTCGAACGAGTCTCGCTCACAGGGCCCTAGACGTGAAAACCCCTCAGTTTCGGTACATTCTTGGTGCTCGAAGTCCTTTCTGCTGGTCAAGGCTAAAACAGTTTGGGACATCATAGGCTGAGCACCGACCTCATCTTTCGACGGCCTTCTCCGAGCCGCATCGACCTGTGAGGGTCCCAAAAACGCCTGCCGCGAACGAAGGCTGCGCCCGGGTCTCAGGGTTGCTCGTCTTCGAGTCCTCCCCCTGCTGTGTCATCCCCCTCGAGGGGGGGCCGCTCCTGAAGAGTGCGCCGCCAGAACATGTCCACAGCCACTGCCGCGGGATCGTGACCTGGGGTCTCGGGGAGCAGCAGATGCGGAGATCTGCCCGCCCACGCGGGCGCGCAAACACGAATATCCACCACTCCTTCCCAAACATCAGGCTGCTCCAGTTTTTCGATGCGTGGGCCCCGGAAGTCTAGACCACTTCCCTAGGGCCGGTTTTTCGCCCTGCGTCGATCTTTGAGGCTCCCGAGGCCCGGCGAGGGCATCCAGAGGCCGAACGCGGCCAAAAACCGCCCGCTCCCATCTTTTGTTGGCGGGGCGTCGGATCTCGGGGTCTGGGATCCCAGGCCACGACCTCGCGGCAGTGGGCATGGACGCACTCCGGCGGTGGACATGGCGAGGTCGCGCCGCCAGACGCCCGCGGCGGCGCCCGCGGCGGCGCCCGCGGCGGCGCACGCGGCGCGGTGCCCTCCCCGCAGCTCCCGCGCCGCCGCCCCCTCCCCCCCCCCCGGGAGGAGGAGAGCACCGCCCTGAGGCGCAGCAGCGCGGGGGGGGGGGGAAGGGCAGCTCGAGATGCTCGAGGGTCGGGCTTCGAGGTCTGAGGCTCGAAGATCCGAGGCTCGAGGTCCGAGGCTCGAGCTGCGAGATTCGGGGCTCGAGCTGCGAGATGCGGGGCTCCAGGGTGGCAGCTTTCGGACGATTTCGTTGGCTCGAGGTTCGAGTTCCGAGATTTGAGGTTGAGGAGAAGGGTAGGAGGAGGGGGAAGGCCTCTTAGAAACACCCCTGCTTCTGAAAAGGCGCGGGCCTCGTCTGTAGATGTGAGGCCGGCGCCTTCGAAACAGCTTCCTTCTAAGAAGCCGTCCCCCCTCCCCCTATCCCCCCCCTGCGCGTGGCCGAGGTTAAAGTTTTGTTGCTCCCATCATACTTAAGGACCACGTCCCAGAAATAATTTCGAGCACCCCGGAAAGTATCGAAACAGTGTCGAACGGGTCTCGCCTCCCAGGGCCCGACACGTGCACCCCCCCCAATTATGGTACTTTCCTGGTGCTTGAAACTCTTTCTGCTGGTCAAAAGGCTGCCCAGCCCCGGGCGGCTTTCCAGCCCCGGGGGTGGCCTCCGGAGCGGCTGCGCCTCGAAGAAAGCGCTCAAGGGGGGGGTGCACGGATCGCTCGGAACGGCCGCCAGAGCCCCGAGCTACGACCCGAGCGCCACCAGCTGGATCAGCTCAGAGGAGGGGGCCCAGGGACACACAACGAAATACACACAAACGACAAGGCCCCTGATATTTTCCCATATTTTCTGGGTTTCGGTCTTCCCCCCCACTTCCTATATTTTCCCAAGTTTTCTGGGAGTCGACGTTTAATTGTGTCTGTGTTTTTCCCCTCCTGATCAGAGGGGGCCGGAACCACCAGAGCGGATTCATCAACTTGGAACCGGCGACATATCGCCGATAGATCGGCGACAGCACGAGTCCAAGAAATATGCAAGGCAACAGAAGCAGAAACGCGGCAGCTCGGAAACCGCCGCAGCCGCTGCAGCCGACACAGTCGCCGCAGACCACGCGGCCCCAGTAGACGACTTGGGGTCACAATGCCGAGAGGGGAAAGATCATAGTCTTTCGCCGGCAGGAGGGCTGCTCCCACCTCTGAAAGAACACGGGGGGGGGGCCCTCCCTCTCTAATCCCGGGGCTGATGCATAAGCTCCCGATGGGCGGGTCCGCGCGCTCCTGGGGAGAGGGGGGCCATCGGGCCCCTCTCGGAGACGAGCAGGCGATGGGGTGTCGATGCGTCCCCGGCCCCGAGCCTCATCATCCCTCGACTGCAAGCCCGGGACCCTCCGGCCCAGCCGGCAGAGCGTGAGCCGCGATGTCCGTCGCGCCCCCGCGGGGGACCATGCAGCATGTGCCGGGCAGAGCGCCTGCCGCGAGGACCGGCGCGTCGGCTGCCTGCCGGCACCGCGCGGAGGGATCGTGGCGTCCCGACGGCGCGGACCTTGCCGAGTCGGCCGAGTCTGGTCCACCAGTGGCGTTCAGGCTGGAACGCCCGCGTCGGGGACACCGCCGCGCGGGCGCGGCGCAAACCTGCCGCCCGTTTTTGTATTGTTATTGTTGTTGTTGTTGTTGCTGCTGCTGCTGTTGTTGTTGTTGCTGTTGCTGTTGTTGCTGTTACTGTTGCTGTTGCTGCTGTTGTTGTTGTTGTTGTTGTTGTTGTTGTTGTTGTTGTTGTTGTTGTTGTTGTTGTTGTTGTTGTTGTTGTATTTGTCGCTGTCGTTGTCGTTGTTGTTGCCGTTAAGGTTGTATTCTCATGTCTGAAACAAGTATAGTTGATCACCCCCGCCCAGTGATCACTGCATGTTACCATTAAAGTGCCCCTCCCGGGACTCGCACCCTGTTTTTCTATCTGAGCGTCAAACTGCGCCCCTGGCCCCTCGCGTTACAACAACAACAACAACAACAACAACAACAACAACAACAACAACAACAACAACAACAAAAACAATCAACTTACCCTCATGAGCGATGCTTCCACACGCAGCATGCGACCATCATGATAACCATCACCGCCATGGGGAATTATTGTTCTATCGCGGGGGTCTGTTATTCCCATTCCCAGATCCCCCGCCCAATGAGGCATTGCAAACACCTCCTCCGATGAATTTCAACATATCTTGCCTCGAAAACGCATGCCCGAGCCCTGCTGCGCCGATGCGAAACCGCCAGTCGAGCCCCAGCCAAGGGTAAAGCACAAGGAAATATCGAGCGACAGGGTTGGCTTGGTGGGGATGGGGCGTGTCGGGGGCGAGGCAAGGACCTGGCCTTGAATAGGAAGAGAGGAAGTCTCGAGCAAGGGTGCTGTTGTTGCTGGAAGCGGCGCCAATGCAGAAGAGAGTAGGGCGCTAGTCCGGAACACGAAGCCTCGAGCGGGAGCGCTGGCTCTGTTGGGACGAGAAGGAACACCGCCTTGAGTAAGAAGGGAAGAAGTCTCGAGCGGAAACCGCGGTTCTGTCGGGACGGGGGCTGTCGGCGGCGAGGAACAGCATCGTCTTCAGGAACAAGGGAGGAAACCTCGAGCGGGAGCGCTGTTCTTGCTGGGGGCTGCGCCAATTCAAAAGAGAGTTGGGCGCCAGTCCAGCGTAAAACATGAGGAGGTCTCGGGCGGGAGCGCTGGTTTTGTTGAGGCGGCGGTTTTCGGCGGCGAGCAAAAATACCGGCTCTGAGCAAAATAAAAGGACGTCTCGAGCGGGAGCGGTGGTTGGTTTTGTTGGGGCGGCGGTTTTCGGCGGCGAGCAAGAGCACCGACCCTGGGTAAAGCAACACCACCACCAACAACAGCAACAACACCAACAACAACAACAACAACAACAACAACAGCAGCAGTAACAGCAACAGCAACAGCAACAGCAACAGCAACACCAACAGCAACAACAACAACAACGGCTCCCGCCCGACACCTCCTAACAATGCATCGAGACATCAGGCTGTGGCTTGAGACTTCCTCGCGATTTACTCCGGAATCGAGCTCTCGCGTGGGACTTCGTCGCTCCTCGACACTCAGGAACCGTGTTCTCGCTTTGGACCTCCTCACGATTTACTTGGGGATCGCGCTCCCGCTAAAGACTTCCTGGCGATTCAAGCAGGATTCACGCTTCAATGACCCGCCCGCTTGACCCGCCCGCCCGACCGGCCTGTTCGGGACTGCAGTCGCCTCTCGCTGCCCTTCGCCCGCCTTCGATGTCCCTCGTTGCCCGTGCTGGTTCCGCGGCCGCCTTCGCTCGCTGCCCTTCGTGGCCCCGTTGCTGCCCTCAGTGGCCCCGTCGCTGCCCTTTCTGGTCCCGCATTGTATGCCCTTCGTGGCCCCCGCTCGCACGCGCCCGTCGTGGCCCCATATGCATGCCCTTCGTGGCCCCGCTGTTACCCTTTGTGGCCCTCTCGCTGCCCTTCGTGGCCCTGGTGCTGCCCTCAGTGGCCCCGCTGCAACCCTTTCTGGTCCTATATACGTATGTTTTTCGTGGCCCCCGCCCGCTCGCGCCCGTCGTAGCCCCATATGCATGCCCTTCGTGGCCCCGCTGTCGCCCTTTGTGGCCTCTTCGCTGCGCTTCGTAGCCCTGGTGCTACCTTTAGCGGCCCCGTCGCTGCACTCTGTGGCCCCGCATTATATACTCTTCGTGGCCCCCG